TCCCTTTCCTCAGTGGGTCTGTAACTCCTTAATCCCACTTGCTTGTGTTAAATCCGAAGCAAGGAAAATATGCTTTGGAGAACCATGGAGCCATAAAGCACGTCTGTTGCAGGAAATATTTTTAGACAATGAAATACATCTGCTATTACTCCCTTAGGTTGTAAATGACCTCATTGGCGCATGTGTGTCTCCCATTCTCTCGCCCCTTTTCTCCCTGAGGTTACCAGGTAATGCCTTTGGCTCATGAAGATTTGCTTCACCCTCATCCTTTCAAAGGCGTTTTTATCCCGGTTCTAAGCAAACATCTTCCAGGAGAGGAGATTCAAGTCCTCACTGGTTTTGGGTACAGAGGATCCAAAAGCTGAACAAGACAGAGTTTATTTTTATGAAGCCTACATCCTGTGGTGGGGACTGAAGATAAATGAACAAAAATTTAAAATACAATTAGGATACATGCTGTGAAGAAATGCATAGTGAGATGTGACCAGAGAGCAAGTGCAGAAGGCCCTGGGGAGGGCGGCCTCCGAGGAGTGCAAACAGCCCTGGAAGGACACTGCTGGGGGCCCAGCATGGGGAGGAGGGCTCACGTGGGCGTTGCATTGCCACCACCACAGAGGGTCAGAGGTTGGGAAGAACACCCAGGTGGAGGGCAAGAGGGAAGCAGCTTTAGAAGGAACATAAATGGGACTAGGTTGGCCTACTACGCAGCTTCACCAAGGACTGGCTCTACCAGCTGTTTGCCAAGGAGCCACTGATGACCAGGACATAAGCAAGCCAAACTTGTTTTATAGTACACTGCAAAAATGTTCATGGGAAATGGAATTAAAAGATCATTTTGATTCAAAAATTTACACACAATGTTCTCATGGTACTCATTTCCAGGAGTATTCTGAAGACTCTCTGCATTTGTATGTAAATCTACTTGTGTATTCTACATCCAGTGGAGTGTGTGCCTTCCACCAAGAAAGAGATGTGAATGTAAGATAAAAATCCTCCAAGTTTATTACAGTTTCCACAAACAACATTTCTGATTAAAATACCACTATCTCAGAATCTTATCTCTAAAATAGGGAAAATGATCTGCTCGTTTTTACCAAATGCGATGAAATTTAAGGGACCTTGGGTTCCTTCAATTATTCTCACCTGCCTCAAGTCTAGGACTTATGCGACATGAACGCGCAGTAATACTGAAGACATTTTCACGGTAATAACCTTGTTGTCAGCTGGTTGGCCTACAGCTTGAGTATTCCTGCACAGCTTCATATCTCACCATATGGCTCATCTTGCACAACTTTAGATCAGAGACAAAGATGTTCCAGTGTGCTGCATCAGTGGCACAGCAAACAATGCCATTTAAGAAACGGCCCATGTCTTTCTGGAGTCAACTCCTGGAAGCTGGTGAGTAGCTACACATTTTCAGTCTCAACGATATGGAAGAGTCAAAGCTGGAACAGAAGCGAAGATGTTCTGAGCCTAAGAATCTCCAAGGTAAGAACAGAATCACCTAACTTCTACCAACTCTCATCAGGTGGAGACTAAGGGCATTTTTTTTCAGTGTTTGCTCTTTGCTTTTAGCCAGCAGCTAGGCTGTGGCTTTCAGATCCCACTTTGAACAAATGCTCTGTTTTGGCCTGTTTGCCCAACCACGGATCCTCAGCTACCTACTCGGCTATGCCTCGGGTTCCACCTCCGCAGGCTATGTCTCACCCCTCCATTCAGCAGTCAGTCTGTCAGTTCTTTCCTTGTTTGTTCTACAAATATCTAGCAAAGCTCTACCCCTGGCTCCAGTTGTTCTGGGAACTGAGACCACTGTGGAATAGTATGGAAGAGCTCTGGCCCTGATGTGCTGCCTGGAGGGGGAAGACAGACAGGCAGCAAATGAAAAGGTGATTCAGAAGGTAACGGGCTGGGACCTGGCTGGAGAGTGGTGTGAAGTCTTTGGCTGAGTGCTCAGGAAAAGCCTCCCTGAGGATGTGGCATTGAATCTTAGGCTCATGGGCTGATGAGAAGCAAATAAGCACTGGGAAAGGGGAGGTGAAGCATTCCAGGCAGAGAGCACATGTGCAAAGGCCCTGAGGTGGAAAAGAAAAGAAAAGCAGTAGAGTAAGATACAAAAACTTCCTGAGCCCCCAAGCGTTGTTTTCACAGGCTGCAAAGCATTATGTATTGTGTGTATGTGTGTGTGCGCGTGTGTGTGTCTATGCGTGTGCGTGTGTGTGTATGTGTATTTATGTGTATTAAGGGTCTGGAAGGCTATTCCCCAAAATGTCAATTGTCATTTTCTGAGCAACTTTTATTCTTCCTTTACATGTCTTCTAATTTCTAATTATTACATATTAACATTAATTAATTACATAATAATAAACCAACCACTCTGAAAAGTTCCATTTATTTTCTTACAATAACTTTATTAAATTCTAATAGTTCTTACATAAGAATTTTTATATAATACTACAGTGCTTATACTGCATTTTTTATAAAAACAGTAAAACATAAATTCAAGGAAAATAATAATTCAATCCACTGAGTAAACCTTACTCACTTAAAAATTTTAAATTCAAATTGGCTATAATTCTAGACACTATGGGCTGAAGTTTGCCTAGCTATCATCTATGGAAATAAATTATGTGTAAGTATTTCAAAGAAAGTGATGAATCCAATGAAGGAGTAAAGACAATAGTTTCCTAGCTACTTGTACTCTTTTTAAAGATTTATTTATTTATTTTAAAGTCAGAGTTACACAGAGAGAGAAGGAGAGGCAGAGAGAGAGAGGTCTTCTATCCTCTGTTTCACTCCCCAACTGGCTGCAACAGTCAGCCAGGAGCCAGGAGCTTCTTCCAGGTCTTCTACATGGATGCAGGGGCCCAAGGACTTGGGCCATCTTCTACTGCTTTCCCAGGCCACAGCAGAGAGCTGGATCAGAAGAGGAGCAGCTGGGACTAGAACTGGCGCCCATATGGGATGCTGGCATTGGAGACGGTGGCTTTATCTGCTACGACACAGCGCTGGCTCCTTGTACTCTCTTCTAGCCTTCCTGTTCACACACCACATGCTGAGAGGACAAATGGTCATCTGCATATGGTCCTTACAAATCACCAGGCCCAGTTTCTGCCCTGAGGTCATCATCTCTGCTCAAGAGCAAGACCACTGCAAAGGCCATAAAAATGTTCTTTCAGGTGTGATCATTTGGCCTAGAGGTTAAGACACCGGTTGGGACACCCAAGATCAGAGTGCCTGGGTTTGAGTCCCACCGTAGCTCCTGACTCTACCTTTCCGTTAATGTGCATCTAGGGAGGCAGCAGGTGATGGCTCAGGTAGTCAGGTCTCTGCCACCCATGTTGGAGACCTGGACTGAGTTCCGGACTCTAATGTCAGCCTGGCCCAGTCCCAGCTGTTGTAAGCATTAGGGGAATAAACTAGCAATGGGGGATCTCTCTCTCTCTCTCTCTCTCTCCCTCTCTGTCTCTGTCTCTCTCTGCAATAAATAACTTTTAAATGTTCTTTTAAGCCTCTTTCTGGATCCTACTTCAGTCTTCGCTCCAATCAGGGAATGGTCAAGTGATTTTGCTGCATTTATTAATACGTTGAAAACAGCTAAGAAGCCATACATAGTTGTCTCATCTAGAGCAGAATTAATCTGAAATAACAATTCCAGGCCAGCGCCACAGCTCAATAGGCTAATCCTCCGCTGCGATGCTGCACACCGAGTTCTAGTCTCGGTCAGAGCGCCAGAATTCTGTCCCGGTTGCCCCTCTTCCAGACCAGCTCTCTGCTGTGTCCCAGAAGTGCAGTGGAGAATGGCCCAAGTGCTTGGGCCCTGCACCCGCATGGGAGACAAGGAGGAAGCACCTGGCTCCTGGCTTTGGATTGGTGCAGCACCAGCCACAGCGGCCCATTGGATGGTGAACCAATGGAAAAGGAAGACCTTTCTCTCTGTCTCGCTCTCTCTCACTGTCCACTTTGCCTGTCAAAAAAAAAAAAAAAAAAAAAAAAAAAGAAAGAAAAAAGAAAATAAACAACTCCAGTCTCAGGCAGGTCCGTGCTAGTAACCAGACACCATAATGACAGAGCCCTGGTGAAGCGGTCACAGCAGTGGGCAGGCAGTGGCAGCAACCGTGACCAACAGAAAGGGCCTGGGAGGTGAGTAAGCAAGGAGGAAGGTTGAAGGCTCACAGAAGTTTTTAGCTTAGAGGCAATGCAAAGCATCAGGCCTGGTGTCACCCACAGCTTTCATCAACATTGCAGTTACTGCAGCATCTGTCAAAACTATGATGGCTTCTGCATACTGAGTGATCTCCCCGTGGTCAGAGACGTGCAGCTCCCAAACTTGCTTCATCCTCCTGGCCATGTGAGATGCTTCTGAACATAAGGATTCCTAGACTCTGCTCCCAGAGACCACGATTCAGTGGTTCGCATGGGGAGATTCCAAATCTGCATCCCTGCAAATCTCCCCAGGTGACGTAATCAGGTTTGGAAAGTTGAGCTTTTGAGAAAAGTTGGCAGGCCCTTGGTGTAGCGAAACATCTCAATGATCCAACTTTGCAGGAGCTGAATGGCAGCTAGGACTCAAGGCTGCTGCTTTTTTTTTTTTTTTTTTTTTTACTAAGTGATAAAGTTTTCCAGCGCAAGGAATCATTTTCAAAGGAGATGAATTTCCATTAGAATTGTTATGGCTATTATACTGAAATTCTTCAAAAAGCTTACGGAAAATGCATATTTTGAAAATCTATACTTGGATCTCAAAATTGTTTTGCACAGAAATAAACTCATCCTAACTCGCTGCAATAAATCAGAGCAGGATCTAGTCCGAGGCACTACCAAGTCCACGACAGCAGCTTGAAACTGGCCCCGATCAGAGCAACATGAACTCTGCTGAAATTGAAACAAGAACAAATGTCAGATTGACGGTGAAGTTTAGGTGGAAGAAAGGTGAAACCACTAATGCTTTTTTTTTTCTCAAGAAAGTAGTTAAAATCTTAGAAATCGTATTTCCAAAAAGATAAAAAGTGTTCACAATATTTTAAAAAAGAACATAGTCCATTCAGGTTTATCCCTTGTCCTGACTACATCATGGCGGGGATCTCTGAAGACACCGTGTCCAGAGGCTGCCAGTGACAGTCCATTAGTGCGTCATACAGTTCCTCACTCTGCTCCATGAACTCCTTGTTGGCCTCTGTCACATCCAGCTGTGGCATGGGGTCTTCCAGTGCATCATCTCCGACTTCTTCATATGTCTGCATGGTGCTCTGGGTGTAGCCATACTGGGGGTAACTGTAGCTGTAGCTGCCCGTGTTCTGGTCATAGCCCCACTGGGCATAGTAGTTCTGGTACTGCTGATAATACTGGTTGTAGCTGTAACTGTACATCTGGCTATATTCCACTGGTTTTACACGGCTCGCTTTGGGGATGGCCACGCTCAGCCGCATAGGTTTAGACCCCAGTCCTACTGCTCCCTGGCACTCTGTCAGGGCTCGCTTCTGTTCAAGTTCATCTGTGAATTTCACGAATCCGTAACCCTTAGACACGCCCGTCTGGTCTAAAACCACCTTGCCTCCTCGACAAGAGGGGTAGACTTTGACGAAGAATTCGTACAGCATGCCCTCATCCACGTCTGCAGTCAAGTCCCCCACGAAAAGGGAGTATTCAGGACTGTTATCTGGTTGTTTCCCATAAGTGGCATAGTTCAATTTAAAACGTTTTGCCTTGGCCAAAACATCTCCCCCTTTCTAAGCCTCAGCTTTTTCTCCTGTATAAAATGAAGGGGTTGCACGGATGACCGCTAAGGGCACTGCCAGCTCCATGGTTCTATGAGCTCAGGTGTGCCAGCTGGTACAGCTGTAAGCTAAGTGAAGGCGTGGCTCCTGGAAGGGGTTTTCATTAATTTTATGCAAACACTTCTCTGCTGTAGCCAAATCTGCGAACTCTACAAAGCAGTAGCCCGCTGGAATCCCAGTGAGGCGGTTGCGGATAATTTTGACGCTCATCACGGTCTCCCCCATGGTGGCGAAGGCTCTGGAGATGAAGTTCTCATCCATGTAGGGCTCCAGGTCTCCCATCCATAGGCTGGCGGCCATGGCCACACCAGAGGAGCGACTTCGAGGGCCTCACAGGCCCTCGCGGGCGCCGCTCGGCGCTGGAGTGGCCGCTCCAGAGCTGGAGACTCCGATGCCTTCTTGAAACCACTAATGCTTTATGAAAAGTTTATGGGAACAGTGCCCCAAAGAAATGAACAGTTTAGGGGTTGACACTGTAGTACAGTGGGATAAGCCACTGCTTCTGATGCCAGCACCCCAATTCAGAGGCCTGGTTTTAGTCTCAGTTACTCTGCTTCTGATTCAGCACTTTGAAAAGCAGCAGCTGATGGCCAAATTATTCTGGTCCCTGCTACCCATTTGGGAGACACAGATGGAGTTCTGGGCACATGGCTTCAGGCTGGCCCAGCTCCACTCATGGAAGCCATTTGAGGAGTAAGCCAGAAGATACCACTCTATCTCACAGTCTTTCTTTCAAATAAATAAAATTTTAAACAGAAAGAAATCAGGGCCAGCACTGTGGCACAGTGAGTTAAAACCCCAACCTGCAGCACAGGCATCCCATTTGGGCACCAGTTCAAGTCTTGGCTGCTCCACTTCCAATCCAGCTCCCTACTGATGCTCCTGGGAAAGCAGTGAAGGGTGGCCTAAGTCCTGCACCCACATGGGAGACCCAGAAGAAGCTCCTGGCTTCAGATCGGCTCAGCTCCAGTCATTTCTGCCATTTGGGGAGTGAACCAGTTGATGGAAGTTCTCTCTCTGTGTGTCTCTACCTCCTTCTGTAATTCTTTCAAATAAATAAAATAAATATGTTTTAAAAGCAAAGAAATCACCAGTTTACAACTGGATAACTTGTTTTAAGAAGGAACAAAATGATGCTGAAGATTAAGCCCACAGTGGCAGACCATCCACATCGATTTGCAAGAAAAAAATAATCTTATTTGTACATTAATTGAACAGGAACAACAGTCAACACCCTAGTCATCTCAATTAGCTCAGCTTGCACAAACGTGACTGAAAAATTAAAGTAGAGCAAACTCTGTTCCATTGCTGCCAAAACTGTTGTGTCCAGATCAGCCACAGACAGCAGCAGAGCTTTCAAGTGGAAAACTTAAACAAGTGAGATTAAGATTCTGAAACATTTCTCCCAAGGATTAAACAGGAAACAAAATGTGGCTATATCAGTATGATCCTGAAGACAAAGTACAATCAAAGCAATGGCTACTAAGAGGTGGAAGTGATCCAGTGAAAGCAAAAGCTGACTGATTGAAAGCATAAGCTTTTGGGAATGCTCAAGGAATTTTGCTTGTTAACTTTCTGGGTGTCTAAAGAACAATAACACGTGCTTATTATAAGGGCATTTTGAGAAATTTAGCCAAAGTGTTAGCAGAAAAATGACCAGGAAAGCTTCACCCAAGAGTCTCCTGCATCACAAGGATGTTCTACTCACTGCTCTTATCAACCAAGGACATTTTTGCAAGAATTTCAATGGGAAATCATTAGGCATCTACCTTACAGTCCTGATGTGACTCCTTCTGACTTTTTTGTGATTCTTAGTCTTAAAAATTCTCTAAGAATGGTACATATTTTTCTTCAGTATATACTACAGAAAAGACCACAATGACATGGTTAAATTCCCAGCACCCTGAAGACTCAACAGCAGGTACTCAACAGCAGGTATCATCACTTACAAAAGTGTTCAACACTTTATAGAGCTCATGTTGAGAAATAAAGTCTATATTTTCTTATTTTTATCATTTAATTCCATTTTCCATGAACCTTTTGAAGTCCCATTATATTCTTTGTTGTTGTTGTTGTTGTTGTTCGTTATTTAATGAGCTTCCCCTCCGAAATCAGAACACCAGTTTGTGAGGGTAAACTCCATTCGTTAGAGCAAAGACAGACCGCAGGTATCCCTGGAGCTGTGGCACAGCCTTGATCTTCGGCAGTATTTGCGAATCCACAGCTTTCTGATCAACCTTGCGCTGCTCTGTTATCTCGTATTTCTCCTTCTCGGTGTCGAAGATCTCGCCTTCCTGGTGTCTGGGCTTCTGCAGCTTCTTCTTCTTGAAATAAGCATCGGTGAGATGCTTCGGGATTTTCACACCGCTGATGTCAATTTTTGTGGAGGTGGCGATGACAAATTTCTGATGTGTTCTACGCAGGGGAACCCGATTCAGGGAAAGAGGCCCAGTCACAAGCAGCAAACCACTGCTCATCTGCTTCAGGAAAACTACCCTCTTGCCCCTGTGGTGCCCCGTGAGGATGATGAGGATGGTCCCAGGGGTGATGCTGGCCCGCAGCTTCCTCACGTGCTGACTGAAGGGCTTTTTGCCGTGGCTCAACAGCTTCCGAGGGACATCTTCGGTGGGATAGTACCGCGGCATTTTGCGAAGCTTGACCACCCTGGTGCCACCATTCTTGTCGCCACCAACTGGTTTCGTGACGGTAGCCAGCACCTTCTCCCTCTTCTTCTTCCTTTCAATCCTGGACTTGGGAGCCGCGTACTTTCTCTTGTATGGGGCCTTCCTGGAGTACATGGAGGAGCAGGAGTATCTGCCAATCCCTCTCACCAGGACGGGGTTTCGGCTGCAGTGGGGCTTCCCTTTCTTGGGCTTCTTCTCTGTGAGGGTCTTCTTCTTCGCCTTGCCGCGGGCATGATCGGCTTTCTTGGCTGGAGATTTCTTGGTAGCATCCGGCTTTGCAGCGGGAGCTTTTTCACCCGCCATCTTGCAAGACGGGAAAGAGCCCATTATATTCTTTTGATATAGCATCTCAGGCCCCACCTCAGAGTATGATTCAGTATGTCTGGGCTGAATTCATAGAACCTGTATTTCTTTAAAAATATTTATTTATTAATTTACAGAGCGAGAGAGAGAGAGATGCTTTCATCCACTTGTCCACTCCAAAAATGATCAAGGAAGCTAGGGCTGTTCACTCCCCAAAACCAGAAGCCAGGAACTCCATACTAGTCTCCTGTTTCCTACATGGGTTGCAGGAATCCAAGCATTTGGGCTATCTTCTGCTGCTTTCACAGCTGTACCAGCAGGAAGCTGGATCAGAAGCAGCAGACAGGAATTGAACTGGCATATTGAAGACACCAATGGATGCTGGTGTCACAACCAGCAGCTTAACCCATTGCACCACAAAATAAGCCCTAGAATCTTCATTTAAACCCTAGCAAGTGCTTTAGGAACTACCGCATTTGAGAGCCACTGCTCTAGACCAGTAGTTCTAAAACTTCAGAGTACATGCATATGAACCTCTTGGTCACTAATTAAATAAGCAACATTCTGGATGCATCCCAAGATATTCTGATTCTGAGTCTTGCTATGTACCCAGGAATTTCTATTTTCAACAAGCAACCCATGCAATCATCTCACTGAGAATCCAAGGGCTGCCCTCAAAACACTGATGCACAACACCCCCTTCACCATCTTCTTTGCCCTGTGACAACAAGCTAATGACAAACTGCACTGCATGGGAACCTTTTATTCAAAAGTAGAGAAGTAAAAGATTTAACATTAACATTTGTCTAATGTATACCATGGTAGATATCTACCTTGATGATTCTTTTTCATGGGCTCCAGAAGGGCCTGTCAAAAGGCCAAACACATGGGGCCTGTTCTGTGGGCCACTGACCTCCAGGATTGCACTGTCACTCTAGGAAGATGAATGTGGATTGAGTTGGAAGGGAAAGAATATAGCTGAAAAAGGAGGCCAAGTTTAGGGCACCTTTTCAGGCACTGCTTAGGAGGACAATAGAAGATTATAGGCAGAAGATTAAGAGCAAGATTTGCAGAGAACAGCAGAAGTAGAAAACAAAATATGAGTGTGGATACTGGATGTGAAAAGAGCAAAACTACTGTGTATTCAGTCTATGTGTGTGCCAAGTGGCAAACAAGTGGAGAGGTTGATTAAAAAAAGGTGAATGACAAGAGTAAACTAGGGTACAGAGACTGTTGGCGTTTGTGAATTTAGCAGTTGAACTTTCCACCAGTTAATGCGATTTTGTGAGACATGACTTTGGATCTTTAACTCAAGGCAGGTGGATCACTTTGCTGCTGAGTAAGCCTGGTTTCCAGCAGGCAGACACGTGACAATGTAAGCGTGAGGTTCCTGCTCACTGCTTTTATGGTAAATATTCACGTGAGGAAATAAAAAACTAGAAAATCAATATTTAGTGGTGCTGACATACATAAAAAGAAAGAGACAAGATCAAAGATAGTAAAGTTTACATTTCTCCATGGATGTTAGGAAACTAGTATATTTGACTTCTCATGCAAGTGTGGATTTCATGAAATTGCTTTATGAGAGAAGTAATAAGTCTATTTAATGTTGCTCAATCTTCTCTGTACTTGGATCCACGTAGCTAAATGCAACAGCAGCAGATCACACGACCATACTGATCCTTCTCACTTTGAATTCATGACATGGATCTCATGGGTGCTTAGCAGTGCCCAGAAGTCCTACTCTGTTGCCCTAGCCTTTCATTCTCCCACTCTTTACACCTTGTCTACTCTCTTCAGACCTTCAGGACCCAGCCCATCCCCCCTCTTGGCATAGACCTTGCTTCCTATTTCTCTGAGAAATGGAAGGCATGGGAGCTCCTTCTCATCCTGCTTGGAAACAGGTTCCCCTTTCCCCTCCCTATCCCCTACTATCCATGAACTGCTCTGCTCCTAGTTAGGGTTGACCCCTCCACTTACATTCTGGATCTCTTGGATATTTACGGAAATTTCTCTTGAAGTTCTTCGTTTTCCTCCCCATGCTGTCAATTCCCCCTTCTCTACAGGATCTGCCCCATCAGCACAGGTAGGCACACATACACATTAGCCAGAGTTGATACACTATCTGTCGCTCTCCGTCTTCATGGGGGAACGACACAGGACCCTGCGCTGTTCTTTCGTCTGCTCGGCCCTCCCCGGGTTTGCTGCTGGTTTTTCCCGGGTTGGCTACTATCCCTTCCACCTCCGTGGAAGGGCGGTTCCCCCTGGCCACATTCCCCACTTCCGCAGGGGAGCGGCACACCGCCGGCCGATTCTCTCGGGGGCTGCACGGGTTCCCTTAGATGTTCCCCATAGATGTTCCCGGTGCATGCCGTCTCTCTCCTCCTTTATAGTCCTCCTCCGCCAATCCCAACTC